GGGGCTTCTTCTTCTTGTTCGAGTTCTCATCGACGTGGGTATCCCTAATGATACGGATCTGTTTTTGGGTCAGCTAACGTCGACAACACACATTTAAAGATGCAAACTTACACGCTCGATGGGACCGAAGCGGCTGAACTCGCGCTCGAGATCCTGTTCATCAGCACGGTAATCAAGACGCGCCACTATCAACGTCTTGAAAGCATCTCCTCTGATGTTGGGATCGTCATTGGGGTTGTCTGTAAAAACAAAACGTCATATGTTAGCAAGCGGCATAACAGACAACAACAAAGTCAAGTAAAGGAGTAGCGAGTACAACTGCGCGCAACGTCGTTGTTGGGGGTCGGTTGCCGCGTACAATTCTTGGGACCCTCAGTCAACAGCTTCTCCAAAGCCTCCTTCTTCTCGCGCTTCTTGCGGTCGCGCGCCTCCAGCCAGCTCTCGGTCGGGTGGTACTCGTATTCCTGCTCGTAGGCCTGCATGGCAGGAAGGAAGTCGGCGACGGGGGTGATGAAGGCCGACTTGCGCTCTTCGGGAGCAACATCGCAGGGCGGCACCCAGCGCAGAGGTGGCCGGGGCGCGAAGAGTGCGAGGAGGTTAGGCGGCAGCCTATCTGTCATTGTCGCTTCTTCACGTGTCGCTGTTGTAGCTGGTTCTTGGTGTTTTGGTGGTGGTTGATCTTCTCTGTCGTCGAATGAAATATGTCCGTCGGAAACCAGTGGAAATGTCGTCTGTCGTTTTATCCTCCGCTGTTCGCAAAGCCGGGCGAGAAGAGTTGAATAAAACTTTAACACTGTTACTAATTTGCCAAAGCTGGTGATGGCGATAAATGTGGCGTTGTCGGGTTGTGAGAAAGATCAAACCCGCATTCGCGACTTTGCTTGCTTTGCCTAAGAAAGTGGACAGTTGAAGAGAGAGGGCGGGAGGCGGGAGGAGCTGAGCAGCAAGGGCCCTGTCCAGTTTGGGCGAGGACCGTTGTTGCTGTGTCGTTTCCACTGCCTGGCAGCCTCGCAGCTCTTGCTCCAGCTCTTCCTTCTCGCGCGCTTGACCGAACGGGCACCGTGACTGACGGATAAAGAGGGACCGTGCACCCTCCCGTCTTATCACTACACACACGCCCTTTAAAGGGGTGGAATCGCATTGAAATTCTGCCGACCGCTTTTGCAGTCAGCCAGTGGGCGGGTCCAGTCCCCCCAGTGCCGTGCCGGCGCGCGACGGGCTCAGAAGTTCAGAAGTCGCACCCGCCCTCCGGATCATGAACCCTGGTGGACTCGGACTTGTTGCAAGGCTCGGAGGACGGCGGCGCTCACGAAGAAGAGCATCACAACAATGACGGTAAAAGCACTGACGCAGATCTCCTCTGCCGGCCGTGTAAGTTAAACAGTATCCTGAGCAAATTAAACTAATCAAGAAAAAAAAGCTAATCTTTGGTTACTATGTCTCTAGAATGGCGTCGGCGCATTCGTCTTGCAGTGCAAGAAGTTGGACATCCACTACAGTGACTGGGCTGGCAGTTCCCGGGGCATGAAGTACGTTTACCATCCTTCGACATAGACATCGCAGTATCCCTTCCGATCGAATACCCTTCCCTACTATCGAGACCACCATGCGCTTCTACGGCATCGTCTCTTCCTCGAAACACCATCCTCGACCTATTCATACCACCCTGCCGTCCATATCCCCGACCATATCCTCCATCCACCCTACCTTCCTGCCCTCTCCGACCATGCCATATCATAGCCCCCCTCCCCGTCCTCTTCGAGTCCATACACCCTCCCCCAAGGCTCTAGCTATACTAACCATATGCTTTCACATCACAGCGGCTTCATCAAATCCCTCCTCCCTAAATTCGCCGCCGCCAACCCGCAGATCGAGTTCGTCGTCTCCCCGCGGCCCGCCAAGCACCCGATCCTCATGGGCCACTACATCAACGGGCGCACCAAGGCCATCTGCGTGCGCAACATGGAGCCGCTGGAGATTTTGAAGAAGGCCGAGCTATTGCGGGATTCGAGCGGCGAGAAGCCCCAGAAGTTCAAGAAGCCCGTCACCAGCACGAACCCCAGTGTCAGAGGCGTTTGGTCGCCTTATCACGGGCAGGGTTTGGTTGTATAAAACTCAACCTCAACTGTTGCTTGGGCTGGGCTGGGCTGGGCTGGGTTGGGCTGGATTGTTTGTGTTGGGGGATGTTGGGGGATGTTGGGGCTGGTGCTGGGCTGGACTGGTGTTGGCTTGACAAATAGCTGGCTCGGTCCGGTACCAGGGGGGATTGTATATACCATGTGGAATGTATGAATATGATTAAGGACATCAAAAGGTTTCTTGCAGTATCAAGGAGTACGATTCGTCAAGAGTCGTCCTAAAGCCCCTTCAGATCTATAAAATTCTGAGTAATGATGGGTTTTCCAGTTGCCAAGCATCAGATACAGATACGGTCCTCCGGTTCCTGGTGTTGGAGTGTTAGGACTGAAAGTTACTAGGGAACATCTGAGAAGTCGCAGCGAGTGAAGGAACCATGGAGTTACGGTGATTGGTGTCCCGAGAAAGCTAAACGGGCCATAGGAAGTAAATGGTACTTTTCAAATCCCAACTGAACACCCGACACTTAGGACATTTAACTATTTTTATATTTTGGCCTTGTTCTCAACACCATTTCCTAGCCTATATAAACCCGCAGACGTCAGCCCCCTCCCTATGCGCGCTGACAAGACCGTGCGGTTTGTTACAAAGCTATGGGAAACTTTTTTAATGGGCGGGTAGCCTACTGCTTGGAGTTGATGATCTCGACGACTGTGTTTATCGTCATGTTAGCCACCATAAATTTTCACGCCATATAGGATCACTGGAAAGTACTCACACTCGGGCTTCAAGCTGGCACCGCCAACAAGGAAACCGTCAATGTCCTCCTCCTTGGCAAGGTCCTTGCAGTTCTTGGCGTTGACAGAGCCGCCGTAGAGGATGCGAGTCTCCTGGGCAACCTTGTCGCTGACGTTCTGCTTGAGCCAACTGCGGATGGCGGCGTGCACCTCCTGGGCCTGCTCCTTGGTGGCGACGAGGCCGGTGCCGATGGCCCAGATGGGCTCGTAGGCGACGACCACGTTCTTCCAGTCAGACTCGGAAATCTGCTTGGCGAGAGCGGCGAGCTGGTTCTCAACGAACTTGATGGTCTCGCCGGCCTGGCGCGTGTCCTTGGACTCGCCGCAGCACCAGATGACCGAGATGCCGTTGTCAAGAGCGTACTTGGTCTTGGAGGCCACGAACTCGTCCGACTCGCCGAGCTCGTTGCGGCGCTCAGAGTGGCCGAGGATGGTCCACTTGATGCCGAGATCCTGGAGCTGCGAGGCGCTGATCTCGCCAGTGAAAGCACCGTTGGGCTTGTTGAACACGTTCTGGGCGGCGACCTCAACGGTGGACTTGTTGAGGTTCTGCTTGACAAAGTCAAGGTAGAGAGCGGGAGGAGCGATCACGACCTCTGTTTTATGTTGTGGTCAGCACTGCCTGAGCATTCATTGTGTTGCTGGTTATCCCAGTTTCTTGCTCTGCGGTTGCAAACATACCGGCGTTGGAGTCCAACTGAGCATTGTTAAGGTTTTCAACAATGGCCTTGAGATCCTTCTGGGTCCCGTTCCTGGAAATAAGGGTTTCTTTGGTTAGCTGACCGAGTCATTCCCGCGGGGTTTTCCGACATGGCATATGACGGGATGCCATGGTGATGATGGTAAATGGCGGGGTAAAAGTGTTGGGGAAAGCTCCATTGAGCTATGGGAATGGGAATTGACGCACATCTTGAAGTTACCGCCGACGAAGAACTGACGAGCCATTTTGGGCGATTTGTTTGGTTTGATAGTATTAAAAAGGGGGTATCTAGGGGGGGTTGCAGGAAGCAGAAGCACAAGTCAAAGTTGTGATGATGTGATGTTGTTGTTAGAGTGGAAGTTGGAAACAGAGCTCGAGATGGGATGACGGGACGGAAGTGGGATAGGGTACCTCTATGTACCGTACGTCTACTGAAAGGAGGGGTCGGGACTCGGTAGCTAGGGCGGAAGCATCAAAACGTAAAAAGTGGATTATCATCTGCAAGTTCGGGGCAACCAGAACCTGTCACACGTGCGATTCCCGGCCCCGAGCTGGTTGTTGTTCCTTGAGGTTTTCGTCAGTAGGTGTGAATGCCGTGGTTCGGTTGCTTGGCGGGTCGGTGGGAACCAAACAGTTGCGAGAAGGTCCGATTGTCGCTGCTGCCGTCAATGGTGTTCCAGGCTGCAAAGTCCTCTATGGCATCACGTTAACTCTGCTATTCAACATATCAGACATATTCTTTTTCTCAGACGCAAATAATACCACTTCACGAGATAATATTGAAGACGGGACTCGGCTAAAGCTGTGTTTACTTTTCGATGGTTTGGTATCATTAACTGGGACCCTTGTTTCGTCATATCTCCATCCAGTTGTGGATCGCTGTACCTGCGTCCGACTAATGACACTGGAGCCCGTCCTTTGTTTGTGCCAACTTCCTGTCCGCTCGTCCGCTCGGCTTCAAAGTTCCTACCACCGCCAGGAACCAGTCTGATCGCTATTTGTTGATCACCAACGGAATGAGATATCGTGCATGTACACGTGTAATTTGTCCGCCTCGCTCTTTCACCTCCTCAGTCCTCCCCCACGATCTGCACATCGCAGCTTTACCGCCTAAAGAACCCGGTCTTCACTTGCGGCTTCCTGTTTCGGAGTAGGAGGGTCTCCTTGAGGTTCAACGCTTGCCTCTTCACCTTGGGTGCAAGAGTCTGGTTTGTGTCGGTTGGCACAACTCTGAACACTGTCGAGCCGACCTTCTCGTCCTTGATGCCCTTGGCTTTACGAACCACCTTTCTCCTCTTGGCTCCAGCGGCTGAATCTGACCTCTCAAGAGCCTCGTCGTCCTCGTCGTCAGACTCCAAAAGCTCAAGGGGAAGCAGTTTCGGGATCTCCCGCTTCCTCTTCTCGGGCAAAGCTGCCGCAGCATCCTCCCCGGCCTCTGACTCGGCTTCATCCTCACTCGGTTGCTCAACCTTCTTGGCGGCGCGCTTCTTGGACTTTGCTTGCTCCTTGAGAATGGCATCGCGCTCTTGGCGCCTCTTCTTCTCGGCAGCAGCTTTTCTGTAGTAGTCGTTAGAGTCATGTTTCACTCGTCCTCTTCCACGATTCCGCATAATGACTTACTGCTCGGCAGCCCGTTGGGCAGCCTTCTCAGCCTCCAAGGACTTGGCCTGAGCTGCGGAAGTAGAGACCGCCTCAGGAGCCTCGTCGTCACTGTCCTCCTCGTCCGAATCCTCCTCGTTTTGCTCCTGCTCTTCTTTCTTCTCCTTCAGGATCTTTTCCAACGGGTTGACGTCCGGGGCTTCTCTTGGCGTGACAAACTCCTCCTGCTCACTGTCGTCGAACGTGATGCGCTTTCCCCGCGGCTGCTCGGTCGGGGTCTGGAATAGTTGCGATTCTCCCTCCATTGTTGTGTCAGGGTCCAGGGTCTTGGCGGCTGATGTTGGGATAGGGATCTCAATCTCGACGTGCTTGGTACTCCTGATCGAGACGGAGGATTCTGCCGATGACTCCTTCAAGGGCGTTTGAACCGTGCTCTCAACCTCCACCTGCTCAGTCTCTACAATCTCGGCGGCCCTCTTCAGGGCAGTCTTCCTGGGGGTATTCTTCTTGGCCGCAGCCTTGGTTGCACGAGGTGCCTTTGCCGGAGTGGCAGCAGCCTTTTCGGGGGAGTTCTCCCTTGCTGTTTGGCCGCGAGTCCTGGGTGCCATTTTGATGATGCGCCGTGGCTGAAATTGTCTGAAGTGTGGGCGGAAATGGGGCTGTTCAAATATTGTTCTTTCCCCTCAAATATTGTACAATAACGCAAAGCACAGATTTTTGGAACAAGCCAAAAAATTATGACGAGGGCGATATGAGGACGAGAATCTCAAGTGAAGAGTCCAGGAAGGTTCGCAATTCGAAGGTTTGAACTTTCTCCAATTCACACTTTTTTTTTGGCCGACCAGGGTCTGGCAGCTTTGGCAGGCAACTATCGGGCTTTCTGATTGGATCATTTAGTTGAGCGTGCGGTTCCTGACCCACTTCTCGCATTCCGCCCACCCCCCTGCGGAGGCGTAAACAACACTAAATCCAACGTCGAGAAACACTAACAATTTCCCCCGCAGCGCTAGGTACCTGCTTTGCTGTAATCCAATATCTTAACTCCGATGCCAACCACAGTTCGATACCAGAGGAATGCCTTTTCTCATAGTTATCACGGTCACAAACTCTTACTCTATTCAAATGATTATGCTGGGTAGATTCCGTCTTTATGTTGGGTTTCTGGACCATAGCCAAAGCACCTTCAAGAAGAGGACGGCACTACCGGATGCACTAACAGCCAGGTACCCAAACATCAACAGTCCGATATTCTCCACCACACTTCAACCTCACCAACTTCCGTTCACCTCCTTCAACTCACCTCGGTCCAAGTGAGCTCCAGGCTCACCACCCTTCCACAACCAGTCATGCACCGATCCCGGGCCCTGGTGCGGCATACATGTCGCCTTTCATCCCTACAACCAGTGTCGCCCGTAGCGCTTCATCATGTCCGGCCGTCGCCGATACCGTCTCACCAACCATCGGCATCGAGCTCGCCATTATCAAGCGGCCATAGCCAACCGGCAGCATTATCACAGCAACGACGCTCATACAAAATGTCCAAGATCGCGTCCAGAAGAGCTCAAACAGGCCAATATTTCGAAGGCGAATACGCAGGCCCTAGCTTCGCACAATGGGAGTTCCTCGTCAGCCACCTCCAGACGCCCAAGCTCACCGCGCAAGATTGCGTCGAGACACTCTTCGCGTACATGGCCGTGGCCGTCAAGCACGAGTCGACATGGAAAACGCGCATGATGCGCGAGGACTACTTCCCCGTTGCACGCCTCTACTACTGCGGCTTCCTGCTCATCCACCCGCACTTCGAGGTGCCCGCCTTCTGGCAGATGGGCATGCACATCCTGCACATGCTGTCGTCGCTCAACTACTCGCCCGCGATTGTGACGCTGTACCGCTACTTTCAGCACATTGCCCGGCGCCGCGACCCCAAGAGCGAGACTTACCGCTACATCCAGGGCAAGTTCCAGGACCTCATCCGCAAGGGCGACGCCAACGCTTGCACCTTAAAGGCCGACGAAGTGTGGGACCCTGAGAAGCCCGAGATCGCCCTGGAGTATCTGGACAAGGCCATGAAGGGCTACATGCGGAATCCGGGCATGTACGAGGTCGAACCCGTTGTCGTTGGCGGACAAGGTGGCAAGAGTGAAAGGGTCCCGTTCCTGGTCAAGACGTTGAGCTTCCTCAGCGACATGAAGGAGACGATGTTGGGACTTGTGGTCCGCAAAGAGACCAGCTCGTACGCGCTGCGCAGGAGGGAGATGCTCGAGCGCCTGTTGCCGCTGGACAAGAAGCCTGCGCGCTTGCCGCTCTGGACATGGGAGGGCATTTACCGCGTCAGGAGGGGGATGGCGATGATGATGATGGGGAAAGTGACCGTAGCCGTCGAGGAGCTGCGGGTCGCCGCCGACGAGCTGGATATAGCGGCTGGACACTATGCGCTGGCGATCATCATGCAGCATGAGGCGGAAAAGCTCGCTGAGTGGATCAAGGACGGGTGCGAAGAGAGCCTTGACTTGGCGGCTGCGTTTATGGACTTCTACAAGGATCAAACCATGGAGGGCATGACTGAGGGTATGCGACTCCTGAATGAGGAGGCGGAGCTGCGGTTCAAAAGGGCGGCGCAGGGCGGCGAAGAGAAGGCCGCGGACAGGCTGGAGCGCCTTTGCCTGACGCGATTGTTTGAGCCGGGGCTTTCCAAGATGGAGAGGGACACGTATGGGCTGGCTGCTAAGGAATGGGCCGCGCTCGCATGCCTCATAAGGGAAAGAGATCATGTGCATGGCGAGACGCAGAAGGATACCGAGTCAATTTTTGGGGGCTCGTGGCCGAAAAAATAGAACAGCGAAGGAGTCTGCCTCGGAGTTATTCAAAGGAGGTGGAGGACTGCCATCTGGGTCCTGGCGGGCCGAGGCTACGAAATACAACACCATTGATACCTGCCATCGCCTCTGTCATAAGCAAAACCAAATGCTAGTGAGATGTCTAGGGGACAAGGACCGCTTGCTCATCACCCAAGCCCTTCACCTACACTTGCTCCTCTTTCCATCTATCCCTCCCTCGTCACCACATACACTCCGCTCATGCATTTCCCTTGTCTCCCTCAGTCTCCAAATTCAAGTACTTTCTCTCTCTCTCTCTCTCTCTCTCTCTCTCTGACTGACTACGTACCTCCTCATCCCCGCCTCATTCCCGTCCCGTCCCTTCCCTACCTATCACCCAGGTCCATCCATTCCTCCCATCACCATCACCATCGGGCTCGACGAGTGGTGGTTAGCCTTGCGAGCTTCTAGTATAATTAATGTACATAGGTAATCGGATAGTCATATCTTGGTTACACAGAATAATCACAACCCCTACCCCTACCCTACGAAGCCTCGTCGGAGCCTCGTCGCCTTACGCCGAATCACTGTGGAAGTCCCCTTTACCAAAAACTGAGTTGGTGAGAAGCTCAAAAAAAAGTGCAAAAGATTGGTCTCTCCCGCCGGGAATTGAACCCGGGTCTCGAGCGAATCGAACTGATGTTCAAGCTTGACAAGCTCACATACTGACCACTATACTACGGAAGATGTTACAGCTGTTAATCAGCTGTCGTAGTTGGTTGTTGGAAACGGGGCCGGATCTTGGCGTTATATGTATGATGTACGTAAGATCAAGGCTCCGAATTGCTTCAATGTTTTCAAAACTATGACACTCATCTGATACTATTATTTTACGCAGAATATGCTTTTTGTATGCGGATATATTCGATTGAATGAAGATTGAAGAACTTGCATTCATCTATATACATGTCTCTGGTTCATTTCCTTTCTATCGATACGGTATTGTTTGCGTTTTCTTCAGATTGTGATGCAGAACATCTACCAATGGCCGTTTGTCACCATTTACCAGGTTCTTGTTCCCTTTTTTTTGCTACGAGACCTGAATTGACAAATCTTTTAGTTGAAAACTCTCAGAGATGCTGGTCTGTCTAAAAACAGAGATTTGGTATCGTCCATGTCCAATGGCTCAGTAGTAGTCTTGATGTTGAAATGAGTATGAAGTACAGAAAATGAGGGACGGGTCGTCATACCCCGTCCTGTAACGACAAACAAGCAGTGACACAGTTGAGCGATGACAACAAAAGGGACTTACTTGGTTGATCACGACTATGATGGTAGAAAGTGACAAAGCAGTGGCATTCCTACATAGAGCTAGCCATCACCGTCTTTCCTGTAGTGAAACCGGCGTTGCTCTGTTGCGTTCCTTTAGTGTCTTTCTACGCACAACATACCTGCGTACCGGTCATATGGGAACCTGTCTACACTTGCCATTGTAACTACCTAGCATCACCGGTAAAGCATCCAATAGAACCGGCTCAAACGGCATGGTAAATAACCAATTTCGAAGAAGGAGTAAGCCATGGAGACTTCCTCCTTCCCTATGTTCTTGCCAGACCCAAGTGCTTAAATACAAGGGTATAGTAGAGATAATTTCGTATGAGGTCGTTCGTCAGCTATCCCATGCCCACAACCCACATCAGTCAACTTCCAACTAAGTTAATGGCAGATTCCAGAGCAATAACTCGCAACTGAATCACGAGCTAACCTCCATCTATGCCCAGCGATTTTACCACTTAAAAGTCCAAGTCTCTGGTAGGTCAGCCACTGTCTCGTTTTTGCACGAGAGAGACAGACTCTCCTCTATCTCTCTCTGCAGAGCTGTCTGCCCTGTCCAAGAGAAGAGAATACTGCATGGGATCAATAAACCCGTACTCAAGCATCTTGACTCTCGATGGGACGGAAAGGCGCTTTTATCCCCGTCTGGGCCGTGATATTTATCCGTCCACCCTTGGCTTCTCGACACGGTAACAAATGAGCAAGCGCAGATCCAGCCGTCCAACTCCAACTTGTCAGTAACGTTGCAAATCTGCTGGTTTGGCTTGTAGCCCAGATCATACATTCTGTCTCCAATCTTCTGATTCTAACGCTTCTTGGTCCCTTGCATAGCTTAGACTCTAGAACCAGTGGGCCGCGCCAGGTAGGGCCACAGCACACGGGACACGAAGACGTGAAATAAGAGTCAAAGAGTTTGTGATCCTGAAGTGTTCATCAATCTGTGTCAATCAGTGAGTGGTGAGTGGTATATAACATAATCAAAGTACCCGTCCCGTCAGCAACGTTTCCGTTGGAATCTTGATTCTCGGTTCTCGGTTGATGGTTAGAGCACCGTAGATTGCTCCCTGCCTCGTATAATGCAGGGCCATATAATTCTAGCGGCCGACGACCAGTGGAGGCAAATAGTGATGACCACTAAAATTCACTGGTTCGGTTGAACTTCGTCAAAACCTTATGACTAGGTGGCACACCAGTTGAGTGAAGCATAGCATAAAGGTGCTATGGAATTTTCCGGAAAGTTGCATGGGCCGCTTGGCCGCAACCGAAGAACGGACTCCGGGAAAACGCAACATGGCCTGCAGCGCACGTACTTACTACTACGGCATATTGGGTCTGGAGTGTATGTGTTGAGTGTTGTCTGTCTCTCTGTGTGTAGATGCCTGTCTGGTTGCCTCACCTCTAGGTACCTTTCCTACCCTACCAACCCAAGAACCCGGGGTAAGGACCTTTACACTCTCGACCCCCCCCCCCCCCCTTGCGCATTATATTGCGCGCCGCATATTAAAGATTTAAAAGGCATATGCAAGGAACCTTGCACCTTCCGACCACGTCTCTGCCTCATGACATCTGGTATCCTTGGAGGCCTGCCTATGTGATGGGAAGGTGTTGAGAGCAAGATATTGTGTGCAGTAGTATGGCATGGCCTAATGTTACCATGGTCCATGGCTTGCTTCTAACGACCTTTCCAGCCAAGCTAAACCGGCAGAGACCACACTGGATAGAAAAGGGGTGTGATAATCCAGAAAGTTTGGAGCCGAGTGAGTTTACCCGGGTTTTTGGACAGCCAGTTGACAATGACACCTCTCGTCTATCGGTCGGACAAGCTTTCGACTTCTCTCGCTTGCAACCCTAGAGGTACTGTACTCTACCTACCCGGATGGGCCCTACCCCAGATCTGCTACATGGAAACCCCATGTGGCAGGTCTGTGGAAGGGATGTTAATGTAGGAGGAAGGTAACGTGCCCATCCGTGGGCCATCATTGCTGCTGAAACAATTTGAGGCCGGGAAAAAGTGTTTTGTGTGATGTGATGATGGTTGAGCAGAGACATCATGTGGTCTTTGTGTGTTGCTCCCAGCCGACTCGACAGTCGGTCTCTGGTTGTGGGACGGAGCTACCGAGTCCGGATCGGCGAACTGAGGACAGTGAGAGGTCACCACGGGATTGTCGTGTCGAGGAAGTAGAGATGCGGGTGTCATTTCCAACACGTAAACTCCGAGACAAACCAACGGAGAATATTTACGTGCTCATCGTTGTCTTGAATGTGTAGGTGAGCTCACCAACGTAAGCTTGCCGTTTGCTTTTCTGTTGTTATACGCCTGGGACACAATTAGCCGCGATGTCATTTTTCTTTTGTGATGTGTTGGTTCCTTAGCCGCATTACCGGCTTCTTGGCAGGATCTTGGTCCTTGTATAATGCGCCCAACAAGCGAGCCAACAGCATTACACTTTTGGCGAGGAAAGGGACCAGGGCGGCAGTCTAGAAGGCGCTACTGCTTGCTTTTTCCTCGCGGTTTTCTCACAAAAGAAAGGCTCCTCGGTGACCAACTGGGTCCGATTCATGTAACAGATTCTTCAATCCTGCAATCGAGCAGGCGAGTGAGACATGCTTCAACAAATTTTCGGGGAAAAAGAAAGGAAACGAAACCAAACGCGGACAGGAAACGAAGGTTGTAAATGCATCACAACTCGACTACAACCCATCTCTGGAACTCAAGACGAAGGTCCTCAGAGCGGAAGGGCAAAACCACGGGCCTTTGTCAATTACCGAAAGACCCGCGCGAAGAATTTCCGAGATGCAGATCGCTGGTAGAATCCAGGCCAGTGATGGTAACGGGAGGGGGGCAAGTAATCAACATGGGACAAGATCGGTCGGAACAGCGGGGGTTACTGCTTGGCTTCCTTCTCAAGGACGACACAAAGCCCGGAAGGTGGCTGGAGTTGTCCCCACCACCGGATACGTATAGTCTGGATCTTGTATGTAGCTTATCCGGATTCATGGGTCATGAATGCCTTGTCTGGTCTTTGACCCCCGACACTTCAGGGTCTTAATCCAAGACAAAAGCCCCGCGAGTTCCGAGTGTTTGAGGACCAGGTTGTAATCCCGAATGTCCGGTTCACGAAATGTGATGGATATAGGCGATGTCTTGCCTTTCATAGCGTCTCTTGGTTTTAGTTAGTCAAAGAGTAATTCTCGCTGGTTGAATGGTTGGCAAGACCAACGGCTTCCTGGCGCGTGGGACCCCATAATTTTACGAGCAGCTTGCCTTCCTGGGACTGGAAGCTCTCGTTAATCGGACATTGAAGCGGGCCTGTTCTCTTGGTGAATCTAGCAGGCGACGTGTTGATGCCATGTAATGAGGTTACGAGGTGAGTTGGTCTTCTTCACTAAGAACAAACTCAAGTCTATTTGTCATCTTGAACTTAGCAGGTGCTTGAAAGTGTGTTGAAATATGACGAAATTCGGAAACTGTTGTGAACATTTGAGAGTGTCGAGTGCGTTTACTTGCCTGCCTCGGGCCACCAACTTGAGGACCTCGTACGGAACAGTATGCAACTAGGGTGACATGGACTTGAGTGCTACCCCATACTGTACTACTAGTATGAGCCCTGGAACCTTCGCAGTAAAGGCACGCATGGACAAGAGCATCCAAATTGTTACTTTGCCGGTGATCAGATACGGGA